ATCTATAAAATGGGACTAATAATAACTACCTCCTAGGATTGCTGTGAAGATTTGTTGATATGTACATTTCAACATGCTTAAAGTTTTCTGTGTGTCAATTTTTCACACTCATAACAACAAGCATTATTGTGTACAATGCTGAATTTTTTTTGTTTTTTAAATTGAGACGGAGTCCACTCGTGTCGCCCAGGCTGGAGTGAAGTGGCACGATCTCGGCTCATTGCAACCTCTGCCTCCTGGGTTCAAGCAATTCTCCCTGCCTCAGCCTCCTAGGTAGCTGGGATTACAGGCTCCACTGGGATACCACGCGCCGGCTAATTTTTGTATTTTATTAGGAGCATGGTTCACATGTTGGCCAGGCTGGTCTTAAACTCTTGACTCAAGTTGATCACCTGCCTTGGCTCCCAAAGTGCTGGGATTACAGCGTGAGCCACCATGCCTGGCCACAATGCTGAAAATTTTTAGTGAGATACTTCAACCATAAATGTAGTTGAGAACAGATAAAATGTCCCACTTACATAAAGCATTGCTGGTCACACTGAAAAGACTAGAAATACAGTCTGATTCAGAGCCTAGACACACACACACACACACACACACACACAGAGAGAAAGAGAGACATATGTGTGTGTGTGTGTGTGTGTGTATGTGTATGTGTGTATATATATATATATATTACTCCATCCTTGAGAAAGGCATTATGAGATGTGTTGTGGAAGGGACCTGTATGCTATCTTAAAGTCATCTTCAGATTTTCAGATAGAACTAAGGTCCTTGAGATAATAACTATGTCATATTTTTCCTCTATGGTTCCTAATTCTCTTTCAGCATAGAAGGCATTTAATCATAATTTAATAACCAAATGAAACCTCATTTCTGTTAAGTCCATGTAAGAATTCTACTATCACTCATGACTTTTTCTAAATCTTTCTCTTTTGTTTTAATTTGAGCTGTATCTTTAGTTCACACATCATGGAATTCTGCAAGCCTACAGTCCATTGCTGACATTAACATTCCTTGTCTTCATAAATAAAACTTTTATGATTCAAGGGTTAACTTCCCCCACCATCTAATAGCAAAGATTGATTAATAAGACCATATTAACCTGCCCACTCATATAAAGTGAATTCCATTCTCTACAAGATTTATCATTATTCATTACACATTAAATATTTTTCAAAACATTTTAACATTAACACTTTGTGATTGGCTTCATTTTTCCCATTTCTGAGAAATGGTTGTGTTGTTATATTATGGGGTAATATTTTACATTAAAGTCATGGGCATATTGATATTAGAAAAATAGTTGA